AAATGTCGTCAAAGTATGTCTGTGCATACGCCCTGTGGGGCCTAAACAACTGCGTCACAAGACGATTTAATGTTGCTGGTGCATTTGACAGCCTTTGGGGCATCACCAGCCACTCCCAGAGCATACCGCTCGGAGTGCTTACCGCTGTCAGCTGAATGTCACTCGCTCTTATGAGCAATTGGTAGTATCCATCTACTAAATCGAGTGCACTGTATTTTGTAGACACCACCATATTGTTATGAAGAACATCCTTTCCAAGAATTGGCGTTTATACCGGAATGGTGGCAACGTTCCTGTTACCAGGGTACGTGTAACCCCGTTACTCTTCTCCTAAAAATCCAGTTCTATCCAGATTCGTCGTCAAATTGACGATAAGTGCTACCAGATGCGACGAGATTGTGATCGACCTCGCACAGAGGAAGCTTTGACGCTACGAATGTGCGTGAACAAACGCACAGAGAATGTATATACTGGGCACCACCCCGACCATATAATCAATTCTAAAAAATATCAAACCTTTGCTTTGCATAATTTATCGACCAAAGATTTTTTTTCAAAGGCTTACAATTTATACAGTTTTTAAAAGTCGGATACAAAAGTATTGTACGAAAAAGAACAAAGTTTACATCACAATAAAGCAAAAGAACGGAATTTCAAGATTGGATACAAGCTAGCTAAAACCTTACGAATACAGCTTTCACTAGCACAGCAACGAATTTTGCTTCAGAGTTTCACGCATCAATCAAAACTATCGGCCAGTGTAGTATGATCCTACTACCATTCATTTCTGTAGTCTGACTTTCAACGGGATCCTATGCAGATTGCGAGCTGCTCACCTGCGTCTCGGTATCAAGCACAGCTGCGGTTGTCTCAACAACTTCCAGCTTTGATTCCTTTTTAGCTTCAGACACCTCGACCTTCACTTCGCTTACCGTACTGGCCACCTTGTCACCCACTAGTACATCTTCAACTTGAGAAACTTCTTCGTTTGTCTCGTTCATAGCAACCTTGTCACTACCATTACCTTCTGGATATGGAAATCTTGACGTAAGCCAAGTGTCAAGATGAGTAAACACTGCGTCACGTTCTGGATCGTCGAACAGTGAATGGAAATAGTCATCGAAGATCTTGAACTCTTTATCACTGGTTGCTAATCGTTTGAAAAACATTTGTGCAAGTTCTAAGCTAGTCACCTTGTCGTTCGAGCCCATCATCATCAAAATTGGCAATTTACACAACAGACTTTCTTTATCCATAACACGCTGGTCCGCCTCTAATGCTTTCATGGCTTTAAGAGTCTCTGCACCCATTCTCGCTGTCACTGGCTCCGTCACTGTGAGCGGATCTGCTCTAAAATCAATCAAATATTCCGGATCTCGACACAAAAAATCAGCATTCACTCCAGGCACAATTCGCGCCTTTGGTACTAATTTGCTCAATGGTCTTGCAAACATTGCTTGAACTCGTAATATTGCCGTCATCTCAACGAGTAACGCTGGAGCTACAAGTACAACGCCGCTAAAATCATGTTTACCACTTAAAATAGTGTGAAGACCCACTAATGTGCCGTAGGACATTCCTGACATAATCATTTTGGGTTCACTATCAGACACAAGTGCCAATTTTGGGTATAATTCCGTCTTGGCCATTTGAATAAATTCATTCGTGTCGTCTACGAAATAACGAAACTTGGCACTGTGTGCTCGAAGACCGTGGCGATCAGAGTCACTAGCTCCATGGCTTACGAGATCGTAAGCTAAAACTCCAAATCCAGCATTACACAGACGCTCGTAGAGATGATAGTAGCGGCGACTGTGGTCACCAATGCCATGCAGATAAAGCACAACGGCACGAAGAGGTGCATCTGCCGGTGGAAAAAGCGCAAGATACGATAAATTCTGACCACGAGAGTTTTTAAATTTACCGTCGAGTTGGCGTAAGTGTGGCGGCATATTTTGTGCACGTAGAGCAGAATAGACGCTCATCCTGGTCGTCATAAACGTCACTGAAGGAAGGAAGTACTGAAATGTTTTATTAGAAAAATGGCCAAAACTAATTAACTCTGACCATCACTCTTGTTTTGTTATGTTTTTAAAGTCACTTAGCAACTTATAGTAATTAAGTTGACAACGACTCATTAGAATTATATAAGATCAAATCTGATTGATTTTAATTCTTTCACTGCTTAAAAGTTACCTTCACGAGAACAATGGATGTTAAGCTGACAAAATTCAGCTCAAGACCTTGAAACTGTGTGTTTGCCGCCTTTCCCTCATAGATGCACTACGTAACGGCCTTGTGACCTTTTGACTGTGTATATGTGGAACTTACATATCTCTTTATTACTGCATTATGCTGTTTCTTTGTTCAGAAGATTACATAAAAGGAATCAAGCACGTAAAAGTAATCAGCGCTAGATTTAGACTCTAGTAGTAAGTTTTGAATCTCCAAATTACTTAAAATGATTCATAATATATTGGCCCTTGATGATTGTTGATATCTTTAAAATCTATTTGATATTCCATATAACGCCAACGGAGATTTCTTTCCAGCAAGCATAACTCTATGATTCATCTGATAAAGTACATACAGCCTCACGCGACAGGCGCGATCCACGCACGAACACACACATCATATGGATGTTATAGCAAAGCACTTTTTTACAATCGACGGTCACTTCTTGGTTGATATGCTTTCAATTCTATTAAAATCGTAAAACGAAAGGCGACATCCTTGTAGTCGAACCGCATATTGACTGAAGAGACGCAATGAGGCGATGATTGAAAAATTGTCAGACGTGGCAACGATATGAAACAACTTTCTGTACTTTGACAAAAAACGACGAACGCGAGTTAACGCTCCATTCTCTTCGCGTAAATTGCCTCCTCCTATCTGCATGTCAGTTGCGAATCCACACATTCGATCATAAATTGAGACCTTTCAATACCACTAATCGTACAATAAACGATGGGTTGCACACATTCCACTACTGCAAAAGACCCAACTGAGTTAAAGCCTGCTGAGACCACGTCAGCAATTGCTGGTACAGACACCTTTGCCGAGGAGACGCCGGTTGTTGAGGCTACTATTAAGAAAGAAGGTATTGAAGAGAAGTCTGTGAAGATCGAAACCGCCGTGGAGAAGGAGCGTGTTGAATCCGTTGCAGAAGTACTTAAAGAAGAAGAGCCTGTAGTGAAAGGATCTGTTATTGAAGAGGAGCCCAAGATCGAGGAGCCCAAGGTCGAGGAGCCCAAGGTCGAGGAGCCCAAGGTCGAGGAGTCAAAGGTCGAGGAGCCAAAGGTTCAAGTTTCCTCTGTTGTGATTGCTAATGAAATCGAGGAGCAGAAAGACAACGATTCTGTCGCACCCACGCCTATCGTTACTTGTGCTGACAACAGTGCCGAAGAGACGGTGGTGACCGAAGTGACACTTAAAAGTACCATCGAAAATGAGATTATCGAACACGTTGCAGATGCAACCGAGGGCAAAGAGGCTGTTCAGATAAGGACTTCTAATGAGGAGGAGGCCAAGGTCAACAATGTTCCTGGCATGACAGCTGATAAGGGTGAAGGGGAGCTCACGGTAACGATAGCTAATGCGATCGAGGATGAAAAGCCCGTCGACGAAGATTCCGCTGTCGTAAACGCTGACGGAGATAAGGAGTCAAGTGAAGACGAGCCTCAAATCGATGATCTCAAGAAAGAAGAGCTTGAGATCGAGAAATTCGAAGGCAAAGTTGTCAAAGATGAGAAGCTTAGTACAAAAGAAGGAGATGCTGAGCAGCTTAAGAATGACGAACGTGCTGAGAAAAAGGATCTTGAGGCTGATGAAACTGTCAAACATGAGGCCCACGTCGAAGATCTGAACAGTGGAGCGATGACTGGGTAAGTTACAAGCGTTACGATGACTCAGGCAGAAAACTCTGTCAATTTTTCGAAAATGAAGGTTACACATGATATTATGTAAAAAACGATAGAATAAATTGAATAAAAATCTCTGCTTCCCAACCATTCAGTAAAATTATTAAAATACAAAATTTGATACATTTCGTTTTCCAGAAGATTATTCTATTGTTAGTGAGTAATCTTGACCGACAGCTTTTCACTGTTGCTCAACTCAACACGTAAGGCAGAATAGACGCTTCTCTTTCAAACTTCATCCTCGGCTCCTGTGCCTTGTAATTTGCTGTGCCACATCGTGTAAACACGACCATATGAAATAGTATTGAGTCCTGAGTTTGCGCTGCATATTCGACGGTGTTATGTTCAGAATTTGATTACACGACGAATGGTAAGATAATATACAATTGGGTTAACGTACTTCTTGCGCAGAAGAAAATTTCAATCCAAGTTTAGACATTAGCAACGCACGAGGCTTTCACCGAGAAATGAAGCCTCTTGATTTTAAAAGTGACATATATTAAAATTTGAGCGCAATTATGTTTTCTTATAAAAGTTTTACTCTCATATATAACTATGTTTTCTGATAGATTTGAATGATGTGAAGCTAGGAGCCCATGGACCTCTCTGTGACGGAGTTTACATGCGCTACTACTTTGGCACCTCTGAGCTGCGCACAATTGCAGCATAAAAATTGATACAAATACTATAGCCGCTTTGACAATTGACACTGCAATAGCATAGACCTAACAAAGGTTTTCGAATTATGTCCAAGATATGATTCGCGTGAGATAATTGATGTAAATGTAAGAAAGTTAGACGGTGTGACCATGTTATAATTGCTCAAAATATCTAATGACCAGGGAAATAAGTTTGGGTAGAAAACACAGCGATACTTGTGTCTCAAGCATCGAACAGCAAAACGTAAAATAGGCAATGTGTCGTTAACAATATAGTCTAAAAACAATCTACATGACAAGACTTGAGTTTCGATCATTATAGTGATTTATCAACAGATCATTACTTTATATTTTTTACCACCTCTTTCGGTGGTGGTAGCGCTTTTACCTTTGCCAACACAGGATCTTTTGGTTTTGCCGCCGAAGCTGCGAGCTTAATGAAGTCAGCGGGGCTTTTCAGTTTGAATTTTATATTGTTGGAGCGTTCCTCATTGTGCTGAACACGACCGTCAGCTCCACGGTGAAATCGTTCAAAATCTTGGTTTTACCATTCGAAAACTCGACGTTCTTGGTCACATCTTGAACCTCATGGGCACTGAACATTGCAGTGCTGCTCCCGAAAAACGATGCAGTCGTAGCCGCCATGAGCATAAAAGCAGAGCGCATGTTAGTCAGTCTTGAGAACGATGATGGAGTGATGTCTGCGGATACACTTGTGCTTTTCTGAGCAAATGGCCAAGTGCTTTGCTTACCGCAAGGGAACTTATCATAGACCAAGACAAACGATATTTTTATGTATCTGTAGCAGCTGAGCTCGATATTCAACTGTGAAGAAGAGACAGCATTTTCATACAGTTGAATCACAATTGTGATCCTGCTCATGGCTTTTAAATTACGCAATTCCCGCTAAATAGTGAAGCTGTAGCTGCAAGTATGTCTCGATGACTGTACGTAGTAAAGAAGTATTGTGGAACAAAACATTGGGCTTGAAAGGTTTTGCTGGTTTGAAAGGTAATAAATAATGTTATGTAGCATTTATAATGTCGAATACGTAAAGCGCAGGCATTCTTATGCCTTGATGACGAGTACATGTATCTTCCGCTATCATTTACATATGCGGAGAATAGGAAATGTGACTTTTACAAGTAACATCATTAAACTTAACGCTATGAAAGAATTACTCGCATTTCTACTTTCAACTTGTAATGACGAAATCTTTGGAGTTCTTCAATCTAAGTTGAAGCTGTCAAGTATAAATATCCGGTTTCTGGATCATGGTAATATCAGGTCTAGAAAGTCTTTCGGGGTCATGATTTTTCCCGCCGACTTCGGAGCAAATACCTCAACCGGGTGCTCAGAGGTCGACAAAAAGCGCTGCTCCAGTCATATTGTAGTTGTGTCGCGAGTTCATGTATTCGAGAACTCTTTCTACATGTTATTCTGCCAGAATAATGCTCTGATTCTGGTGACTCTAATTAAACGTTTAGAATTTTGTAAGTTTATAAATGATGTATGAAAAGACGCAACTTATGAAATTAGTTATGGCATTTAAACTATCTGCTAATACTGAGTTGTACAAATAAACAAATATATTTTTGCGGTGCGTAATTCGCTAATTTTCTAATCTACCGGTGGTATAAACTATAAATCAGTAGCCGCATATATAATGGGCTTTTTTGTTCACGCACTTGAGTCATGTTTATCACTAGATTCTGCTATCGATATACCCCAGCTTAAGTCATGCCGATAGGATATCATGCCTCGCTTTTCCACAAATTAAAGCCGTATCGTAGATATCTTAGACAAACCACCTATTCATCGACCTTCTCCCTGGCATTTACTCGGACTAATATGACGTCATTTCCGGAATTTTATATCCGGAAACGTATGAGGCGGCAAATTCCCTTTCATACCTCTCAGGATCAGAACGGGATTTGAGCGCAAATTACCTTTCTGGACCAAACGATATCAGATTTCTTATAAATGAGGGTAACGGATCTGCCGAACACAGACCAATCTTTTAAACCACCCAATCCGAAAAAGTCGGGATAATTCAAACTTCTTGTGTCTTAGAGTGACCAATTAACAAGTGAAGCATAAATGCAGAATAACTTTATATAGTTGACAAGGGGTGGTACTTCTACATGGGCTTGCTATCCATACGCTCAAACATAAAGGAGCTCGACGATGGGTTGATCGAGGCTAGTACAGTAGATGATTTTATCTTAAGAACCGCATCAAGACTTTTCACACCTTGCAAAATCGGTTTCACCCCTCAGTATGCCATCAGGGAATATACTTCTATGCACAGCGACTACAATCCATCATGGACCCAAACACGCGGTCTCCACATCGTAGCTGAAATTCTAGCAATTGCATTTGTTAAATAGACCCCATATAGATTGTGATGGGCGATGACCAAGTCCATGAAATTGAGCTCGGATCCGGCAACCGTCGTCGGATGTACACTGCATTAATCAGGATTTCGAACTCAATGTGCTTCACTTTCTCGTCGCGTTGATGTTTGTGTATAAGATGTCCTTGAAACGCCTGTGACGGCTGATGACGCCAGTCTGGACACAAGGCGTGAGACCAATAGGGACAACGTAGAGAGCAATGCTAAGTGTATGATTCATTGCTTTCACATCCTTGAAAGTGTGAGCTCGCATGAAATCTCCAATCACTTTTAAAGCGCTAGCGATGTTGACGAGAGAAAGGTAAGCATTCAGATAGGGCATCAAAAATGGCATGTAGATCCATCCATTTCTCTTGTTACGACATCCGCCTTTATGAGATATGCCTTGTCGTTGCATTTTCATCTCAACTTTGACGAGAGTTACAGTAGAGTAGCTGTCACACCATAATGCGCATCAACGCAAACCTTGTAGAGCGAACCTCAACGTGCCGATCGCCAACGGCATTCACAGTCTTTATCTGGGTATCCTTTAATTGTACATCCGTTTCATCCATAAAGACTGGCTGGGAAGCGGTAAATGCTTTTCCAGAAAGCTCATTTATGGGCTGCTCAATTCATGAAGTTGTCGTTTGTGAAGTGTGTGAGGTTAGATTGCGGCGGAGGGGTAGATTGTAGCGCTTTATGAAATTACCAACCCAATGATTGTACACGGCAGATGGTTCACACAAGTGTTGTCGTCGGCATGAGAATAAGGAACTTCGGGTCCCATGTCAGCGATTGATCGGGTAGCTTTTTTTAATTTTTCGAAAAACAAGTCATCTGACGCGATCGGCAAGGATTCTTGTCCTCCTCCACTCACACGACATAGTTGCGAACCAGTCGCTATCATGGCGCCCGATCCTGCCTCCCCTTTCTGACGTCTGTGCCATCAATGGAGGACCAAGAGGTCAAACGTAAATTTTTGCACGATTAGTTATACAGTTTGAGTGAGTGTTGACCCATCCAATTTATTCTTGTTTGAGCTACATCGAGATGGCGTTGCGGTGCTCTATCGAGATCACAAGTCTCGGATGGTAGATTGCTTGTGATGTTATGGCCAGGGGAGCACAGTTATCGTATTTTTGATATCAACGGACTGCGCTCTACGAAATCCGTTAAATTACTCGAGATTCCGGATCCAAATGTGTATTTGAAATGGCCTAACATATGAAATAGCAGTGCTCTAGCAAAAGAACAAAAGCTGTAAATCACCAAGCTCTCACGCCATTGAGGCCAAGTTCAAGTCACACATTGATTATATTGCCGCCGTGTACAGAATTGATAGTGCAACAGGGTTGCCGTTTCTTAAGCTTCGACTTAAGCACCACGCGTAAGCAAACGCATAAAATATGTGTTGTACGCTCTTACTGAGAGCAGGAATAAAAGTAACGACCGTGATCAGGTGTTTAGTAAGTTTGCTATATTAAGAAAGCATGTATTTAGAATTGATGCTACTTAGGCTAATGCTAAATATATAAGTTTACTACCTCACATTCCGACGTGTAGCTAGCACCGATCCTGTGGTGCAGTAGTATGCTGTTCACTTCAGAGGTCCAGATTTCAATACCCGGGCCGGGTAGAGCGGGGTTAAAGTGTAATGAATAAAACCCTACAGCACGTGCTGGACATGGCTTACACGACTCCAAAAAAAACGGCGACGTTTTTAAATTAATGTGACTTGCAGCTAGCAGCCTATGTGCCCACAAATTTCTCATTCGCGGAATTTATTATCTTCATATATACCACTTCTTAACTGCTAAACATATTTACAATCCACCAAAGTGCAATATGAATTTCGTACAGCTGTACAGAATTGTATGTAATACAGTTGTAATAGGTGTATAAATACACATG